ACTGCACATAAGAATACTCTTCCAGATCCCGATTTTAATGAAATAATGGGATTTAAAAAATTATTTATATAAACATTATTTATCACTAATTAATACAACAACCTCTGGAGAGGTTATAGTAATTTATATTTTTACACACAGCATGTGAGTGCCTTTTCCATATGTCCTTGTCAAAATTGGTTATTATTAATCTTAAAATTTGGGGGGGGGTAGTAATTGAATAGAACTTTGTCAATGCCTTCATGTAAGTCTGAAGTTATAATTAATGAGGACTTCAGTTATGGAAACTGGAAAGCTTGACCTTGATGTGGCAGTGTTCTCAGGCACATTGCAAGCTGGGCAGGTGTCCCTCAGGAAGCAGGGTTAGCCCCTAAACAGATTTTGGCTGAACTGCAGGGGGCAGTGTTGAGCAGAGGGGCCAGCAGTGGGTGATCTGCCTGCCTTCGCCTGGAGGCATCAGGGAGACTGCCATGTTGCCTCTGGTTTTGAGGGTACAGAAGCTCCTAAGAGACTCACACCGCCACCCTGGGCAACCCAGCTGAAAGGGTGTGAAGCAGTTATTCCCTTTGATAGCCAGAGAAACTGAGCCTTTGAGGGCCATTTTGAAAGGCTAACATTTCTCCCTGGGGGAACTTTTCTCAGAGCAGAAGCAATTTTTTTTTTTTTCACGTCTCTGTTTTGACCTAAATTATCTGTGGGGTTGTACTTTTTAAAATACAGAAGCTATTTTTTGTTGATATTTCTTCCTTTTCACTTTAAATTTTTGTATTATCGTTAATTTTGAGATTAACGTAAATTTTACCCCAGCAAATTCATTTTGATTTAGTTTTTTTGTGTTTTTTTGGGGGGGGTGGTATCCTCTCCAGTTGTATAGTAGCACCTACTTTATCATATTGCTTTTATATTATGTACTTTTCCTTTAAAAACAGGGAGTGGGTGTGCTTTCTTGCTCACTTTATCTTATAAAAAGAAAACATTGATATCCTGATAGAGGGCACTGTATTTTGATCACTCAGGAATTTTGATCACAGGAGAGTTGTATTTTATAATTTAAGATGAGAAACCGTAAGGCTGCGTATGTAGCATACAGCAGTATTTACTAATTAATCATATTGAGTTTTGACCCAGATGTGGGAGAAACTAAAGTTTTCTCTGAGTCGTTGATTTCAGAGGCATAAAGTTGCATTAATATGTGAAAGCAAACTTGCAAAGTTTCTCTAGTTTCCAGCCTTTATTAGGTCATCATGTCACTCAGAAGTGTGCCAGGCATGTAGTAGTTACTCCAAAAATGGGATTCAGTTCCTTCAGGATTTTTGAAGCCCCTAGATATACACGGCACCATGCCAGTAAAATTATGCAGTCCACAGGGATAGAGCCCCTCAGAATTATTATTTATTTATTTTTTTGTGGTATGCGGGCCTCTCACTGCTGTGGCCTCTCCTGCTGCGGAGCACAGGCCCCGGACGCGCAGGCTCAGCGGCCATGGCTCACGGGCCCAGCCGCTCCACAGCATGTGGGATCTTCCCGGACCAGGGCATGAACCCGCTCCCCCTGCATCGGCAGGCGGACTCTCAACCACTGCGCCACCAGGGAAGCCCCAGAATTATTTTTAAATCTTTACTGGAAATTTATTTCCTAAATACACCAACATTTCTCACTTAGTTCTTTAAGCATTTTACAAGTAGCTAGTTAAATATAGACGAGGTATAGGTAGTGATGTTTGTGTTTGGTGTGGGTAAGGAGATGACCCTGGCAGGCTTGAGATGGGTTCTCTTGTTCTTACTGTTCCAGTACATTTTTGTTTTAATAGCCCTCCCTTTTTCATTTATTCCTCTTTCCCCCTTCCAGTATGGCAAATGCAAATCTACAGATAAGCTGTAGAACCATATTTTCCTAAACGGGAAGATGGTTCCATGGATTTTTAAAGTTTAGGGTAGTCTTGATTTAAGGATTTGTCACGTAAAACTGTAATATCTTGTCTCCAAATTAATGTGCTAATTAGAAACCTAAAAGCCTAGTGATAAACAGGAATTTTAGAATCTTCTCCACTTTTTACCAAGTTCAGAAATCTCTTATAAGACCTTTGTTTGCTTCATGGTCATCTAGTTTTTAAATTTATACTTGTAGTGACGGGGACCTTACTACCTCGCGGGGCAACCCCTTTCCATTTCCCGAAGCTGTCATCATTGGAAAGCACTCCTGTGCATCTGCAGGCTGCCTGTGGTGGGACAGTGCGGCATGTGTATATTACACATCACGAAACTACTTCAAATGAGTATTTCTTTTCATCATTAGATGGAAACTACCCAGTGCAAAGATCATGTGTGACCAGCCTTTCTCCTTGTAATGCCCTGAACATACGCGCTCGGTACTGTTTAGAGGATGAATTCTTACTTAGTTCCATATGACTTGAAGATTAACTGGAAGACAGGCTAAATATTTTTTGCCTGTATTTGAATTAGAAAATGTGTTAAGTGGGCCTTTGAAGAATAGATAACAGTCAAATTTAGGAGGTTTTTTTCCATTGGTTAAAATGGAAGTATTCTACAGTGATATGCTTTCGAACCACAAATAAACTCTGATACATAGCAAATGATCCAGTTAGATAAGAAGTCTATTTATTTTGTTGTTTATTTGTGGTCCTCATCCCTGCCAAAAGTGCAGAAGAGTAAAGCAAGCTGTAAACTCTGTAATGACTAGTTATTTTAGCTGTTGTCTTTAAGAAGCCAAAGGGGATAACCTTAGAGAATATATTAAAACCTGGGAAGCTTAAAAAAAAATCAGAAGATCCTAGGGTACCTAGAAGCGTACCAAGAAAGACTTGATTCCACCTGCAGAACTCCCTGGAGTTTTTTGTTTTTTTTAAAAAACTTTTTTTTTTTTTTTGCGGTACGCGGGCCTCTCACTGTTGTGGCCTCTCCAGTTGCGGAGCACAGGCTCTGGGTGTGCAGGCTCAGCGGCCATGGCTCACGGGCCCAGCCGCTCCGCAGCATGTGGGATCTTCCCGGACCGGGGCACGAACCCGTGTCCCCTGCATCGGCAGGCGGACTCTCAACAACTGCGCCACCAGGGAAGCCCCTCCCTAGAGTTTTAAAATCTAGTTTTCTGTGGTATTGCACAGTGAACAGGCAAACGCTGCTATAAATCATTCCTTACCAAATGGCCCAGGGTTTGAAACTAAGGGGCTGAAAAGGCTCCCTGTTGCCAACCCCTTGGTCGTGCCTGAGGACGCCAAGGCCAGAAAGTGCCAGTTGCTTTTCAAAAAGAACATAGCTGCCCTCAGGCAGAGCCTGAGTCTGGAACTCAAGTTTTTTTGACTCTGTCTAAAAATAAAACATCAGAAGAGGCAGAAACTGTTGATTGCTTACTCAGCCACATTTTAAATGTTATAGCCAGTGGAGGTTGGGACTTAGACATTTTTCTTTCTTTATAAACCATTTTGGATCACCTGGTGTTTCTAGCTTCCTGTGAATCCTGTACCCGCTCTGGACCTGAATGGGCTTGCCGCTGCGGGCACACCCCTCCTTCCAGATTCTGTTACTTCGAGGCTGCACTGCCTACCACTGCCCCCCAGCATGCTCCCCTCTGGCACTTGGCACCCATTGCTATTTAACTAGTGCCCTTCTCCTGGCTTCCTGGTCCATCACAGCTGTGCTAGACTGAGACACCACGAGAACAACCTCACTCTGGCTTACCTCCAGCTACCTGGAGCCTGGCCTCCCACCTTGTCTGCGTCCAACACAAGTTGAGCAGATTTCCTCCCATTTTATATTCAGTTTTCCCTCCTAAAGGTAGCTCTTCACAGTTGTGCCAGCTTGTTAAGGAATGCTGTTTTCGCTTTCTTCTATTCTGCAGTAGTAATTGACTACACCCAGCCCCTTAGCCAGCCTAGTTTTTCCTTTCATCTTGTTCATTGATGCCCCCAGCCCCTCAGGCCTCAGCCCTTGCAGGTGTCCTCACTCCTGTCTTTCCATTGCTGGTCATGCCCTGCGGCCCAGCCATTGTGTCCGTGTGTGTGTCACTTCTGGAGCCCATTTCTTTCCTTCCACCATCCTGCAGACCTTCAGCTAGTTAGTTCTGCAGTTGCAGTAATTTATGAGCCATTCCTCCGCCTCCAGTCTCGTCTCTTTCCCAATCCATTGTTTGCACCACTGCCAGATGAATCTTCTTAAAATGCTCCATTTTTTAAGTCAGTCTTTCCCTGGTCCCTCTCAGAAGCATTTAAATAGTTCCGTTAACCACCGGGGAAGGTCTGAACTTACCTTTTTGTTCAAAGCCTGCTGTCATCAGGTGCTGTCTTGCTCTCAGCTGCTGTTCCTCCCTTTACTCCTCCCTCCGCCACAGGCTGTGCCCTTTGCTCGGTGCTCCCTGAGTGTGCCTCGTACCTCTCGGTCTCTGGAAGTCTTCTTAGCTCCTTCGTGGAGCCTTGTCTGCCAGCCATTCTTTTCAGGTCTTTGCTGATATTCACTGGCTGACCTATTCATTTGACACTTAATTCACTAAGCAAACATTATGAAAGACACGCTGTTTTGCTTCTGTGAGGAATGGATTACAGAGGGGTTAGAGGGTCATCCCCACTGCCAGGAAGCTTGTCTTTGTCACCTAGATTCTGTATCTTCTTGTGTTCATATCTACTGGATCAGAAGTGTAAAGGCAGAGGCCAGGCCTTACGCTTGAAATTTAAGAAATTTAAAAATCACCAGCACCCAGCAAATATTCTGCACAGGCAGTTAATACATGCTGCGAGAGCTGCTAGTACACTTCTAGTAAGGCTTCTTGGAATTTGGAGTTTCTTGTTTTATTTATTTTGGCATTTTGATTAAATTTTGTACGTTCCCATTTTAGCATAAATTGTAACTTTAAAATTACGGTGAGAAATCTATGAATGTAAAATCATCAGCTGAGTTATCTTATAGACTTAATTGGGTAAGATTATTTAAGCTAGTGATTTCGCATTAGTCTGGCCCTGCTCATGTTAACTTTTCTGCTTTTTTTTTCAGCCTGCATGAAGAAATAAGTGATTTTTATGAATACATGTCCCCAAGACCAGAGGAGCAGAAGATGCGGATGGAGGTGGTGAACAGGATCGAGAGTGTGATTAAGGAACTCTGGCCCAGTGCTGACGTGAGTACCTGTCTGGGTAGAAGGGTGCTTAGGTGGCAATATCCCTGTGTATGTGCATCTGTAGAGTTGTGATCTAATGAAATTTTAAAAGCAAAGAATTCTCTTCAGCTCTTAGAATTTGGGGCTTCCTAATTATTTGCATTGAATTAGATGACTTACTTAAAACTGTTTCTTTGCGGTACTGAATAGCAGCTACGAACTGCAAACTATTTCTAGGAATCATTACTATAAAGAGAAGAAAGACAAATAAAGCCTCCTTGTAGTAGTGGGTTATTTGGATGTGATGTCTCAAAACGCTGTTACTATTTTCTTCCAGCCTGTCAGTATGAACATTACATAATTGTGTACAGCTGAATGAAGATGTCAAGTAGGAGTTTCTTATGTCATTTGAAATTCATTTTCATAGGCTAATGCAGGCGTGTGTTCTACTTTCCTGAAACTGCTGTTTTCTTCTTTCTTTTTTTTATTTTTTAACATCTTTATTGGAGTATAATTGCTTTACAATGGTATGTTAGTTTCAGCTTCACAACAAAATGAATCAGTTATACATATACATATGTTCCCATATCTCCTCCCGCTTGCGTCTCCCTCCCTCCCACCCTCCCTATCCCATCCCTCCAGGTGGTCACAAAGCACCGAGCTGATCTCCCTGTGCTACGTGGCTGCTTCCCACTAGCTATCTCCCTTACGTTTGGTACTGTATATATGTCCATGCCTCTCTCTCGCTTTGTCACAGTTTACCCTTCCCCCTCCCCATATCCTCAAGTCCATTCTCTAGTAAGTCTGTGTCTTTATTCCTGTTTCACCCCTAGGTTCTTCATGACATTTTTTCCCTTAAATTCCATATATATGTGTTAGCATACGGTATTTGTCTCTCTCTCTCTGACTTACTTCACTCTGTATGACAGACTCTAGATCTATCCACCTCATTACAAATAGCTCAATTTCGTTTCTTTTTATGGCTGAGTAATATTCCATTGTATATATGTGCCACATCTTCTTTATCCATTCATCCGACGACGGGCACTTAGGTTGTTTCCATCTCCGGGCTATTGTAAATAGAGCTGCAATGAACATTTTGGTACATGACTCTTTCTGAATTCTGGTTTCCTCAGGGTATATACCTAGTAGTGGGATTGCTGGGTCATATGGTAGTTCTATTTGTAGTTTTTTAAGGAACCTCCATACTGTTCTCCATAGTGGCTGAACCAATTCACATTCCCACCAGCAGTGCAAGAGTGTTCCCTTTTCTCCACACCCTCTCCAGCATTTATTGTTTCTAGATTTTTTGATGATGGCCATTCTGACTGGTGTGAGATGATATCTCATTGTAGTTTTGATTTGCATTTCTCTAATGATTAATGATGTTGAGCATTCTTTCATGTGTTTGTTGGCAGTCTGTATATCTTCTTTGGAGAAATGTCTATTTAGGTCTTCTGCCCATTTTTGGATTGGGTTGTTTGTTTTTTTGTTATTGAGCTGCATGAGCTGCTTGTAAATTTTGGAGATTAATCCTTTGTCAGTTGCTTCATTTGCAAATATTTTCTCCCATTCTGAGGGTTGTCTTTTGGTCTTGTTTATGGTTTCCTTTGCTGTGCAAAAGCTTTTAAGTTTCATTAGGTCCCATTTGTTTATTTTTGTTTTTATTTCCATTTCTCTAGGAGGTGGGTCAAAAAGGACCTTGCTGTGATTTATGTCATAGAGTGTTCTGCCTATGTTTTCCTCTAAGAGTTTGATAGTTTCTGGCCTTACATTTAGGTCTTTAATCCATTTTGAGCTTATTTTTGTGTATGGTGTTAGGGAGTGATCTAATCTCATACTTTTACATGTACCTGTCCAGTTTTCCCAGCACCACTTATTGAAGAGGCTGTCCTTTCTCCACTGTACATTCCTGCCTCCTTTATCAAAGATAAGGTGATTATGTCATTTGAAATTCGTTTTCATAGGCTAATGCAGGCGTGTGTTCTGCTTTCCTGAAACTGCTGTTTTCTTCTCTTTTTCTAATCACTCCTTGCCTCCCAGTATAGCTCCCACCCAGTGAACAAAACTTTTGCCCAAGATTTCCTCTGCTTATTTGCGGTTCTTATTGTTGACGCTCACTTTTTAGGGCTCCTTTGAGGGCCTGTTGTACAGTTTTGTGCATTCGAAGAAGTAACTTACTAGAATCCATTACGTTGTACATTGTGTTATACAGCTTTTCTTTAGACTCCGTCATGGGCTGGTAAAGGTGAAGCCAGGGAAGTTTTTCTGGTCCAGTTGGCAAAACAAAGAAGCTTCAAATAAGATACTGTAGGTACAGGGAAGAGGGGAGGACACTAATAATATTTTGTTGAGCAGCCACTGTATGCCACTATGTGATCTAGATTGACAGCTTTCAACTGGGGACAAGTTTCTCCCCCAGGAGGCATCTGACAACGTCAGAGACATTTTTTATTATCGTGACTGGTGAGGTGCTCCTGGCATATGATGAGTAAAGGCCAGGGAGGTTGCTAAACATCACATGATGCACAGGACAGCTCCTCAACACAAAGAATTATCTGCCCCGGAAGACAGTAGTGCTGAAGTTGAGAAACCCTGATCTAAATCAGTCCTCCTCCTTCTGAGGTGGGGGGTTTTATCCACAGTTTTTTTGCAGATGAGGTGCACGAGGCTGTGATTAGGTTCCTGGGTCCATCTCACCTCAAAAGTTGAACTTTTTTCATTGTTCGTCCTTTATTGCAATTACTGAGTCTTCCACTGTTCTCTGTGGTTTGAGATAGGATATGTCCTGATTTTATGCCACAGCATGATGTTATAATGACAGTGCCTGGTGTTCTCTGTGGAGATGGCCTACAGGCTGGCACTTGTCCTGGAACTGAAGTGGTCTGACCCTAATTCAGTAATCTGTGAGAAGATTCCCTTTGAGAGAACAAAAGTTAAGGATTTGTGATTATATCTCTAGATTATCAGGGAACATTAGTGACCTGAACATTACTTTTGAGAGGTTTCTGTTTAAGTCTACATATTTGATATTTGAACCTAATAAGTTTAAGCTATATTCCGAATGTCTGCCTATAAGCCACGGGATCCCGCTTCATGAAAGCATGGTGTTAGAAAAAAAATGCTCTTGTAGTACTAAAAATTACCAGTAGAGGGTGGCAAAACCCTGCATTTCTCCATAGCTTGGTGGCTCTTCATCTGATATTTTAATATAACAATTTTTTCTCTTTTAGGTCCAGATATTTGGAAGTTTTAAAACTGGCCTGTATTTACCTACTAGGTTAGTACATTTATGGCACTTATAAGGGATTGTACATTTTTTTAGAGTGTATGCGCTTTGACTGTTGAATGTGTAAGAGTTGAAACAAAGCAGATTTATGGAACAAAAATTCACTTACCTGTATTTTATTTGAATTATCTTGAGGTAGAATATCACTGCAGAGAACTGTTCAACCCTGTAACTTAACCCACTAACACAGATGTTAATGTCGTACTATGGTAAAACACCTGATTATGCTCTAGAACTTTGTATTCTCTGGAATGCCAGGTCTCTCATTTTTTATTGAGAACTCATACTATTAGCTCCTGTTCCAGTGCTCTGATTCAGAAAATCAGGGTACAGACTCTTCTCTGAGGGAAGTCTTGGTCTTTTCAGGCCTCTTGTTTGTTTCGGTCTTCTCAAATGAGGGCTGTCTTGGCCCATAGCTGGGGGTGGGGTGTGTGTGTTGGGGGTGATTTTGGGGGTTAGTAAGACTTCCTTGAGGAGTGAGTGCCCGTCCTGTAAGAATTGAAATGCTGTGGTCTTTATGAAGCAAAAACATTTATGATGTTTTTGTTTTTATTGTGGTAAGAGCACTCAACCTGAGATTTACCCTTTTAACAAATGTTCAAGTGCACCAAAGGCATCCATCATGTTTTTCATTTGAGTTTGATTCAGTCTACTTTACCCAAACTTAAAATGTGTTAAAGTGGATGGATCCTAGCAATTTCCATTCTTCCCATTGCTGTCTTAGGCCTACAAAAGCCATAAAATATTCAACTTTGAGTCCATTAATATTTTTCCTTATTTAGGTTCTGAGCCTCAGCAAAACCTGAGTCCCTCTTTCTAATAATTTAATTAAATTTTATGAACAGTACTACATTTACCTAGTTCAGATTTGAAAAGAGCACACACATAATTACAATGAAAAGTCTGGATCCCACCTCTCTCCCCCAGTTTCTCTCCTTGGAGGAGCTGCTACTACCAGTTCTTTGCATATCCTTCCAGAGATATTCTATGCATATAAAAGGGAATGTGTGTTTCTTCCTTTTGTACACAAATGGTAGCATACTAGATACACTGCCTGCATCTTGCTTTTTATAGTTAATAATGTAAGTCACAATCAGTTAACCTCATTCACTTGGAAGGTCTTCAGTTTTTTAGTACCAGAAGCCTTTATGAACAGGAAACGTTAACTGGTGTTTTTGAGGTGTTACTTCTTTTAAAATCACCCCGGGAAATGACCAGGAGAGGGAAGGAAGTTGTTAAAATCACCAGTTTCCACTTCCTGTCTAAAAACAGTCCTCACCAACACATTTAGTCTTCATTGGGCAGGGTGAGAAATAGAGTTCCATTGTACTAACCTGCTGTCTGTAGCTTGAATGAGTTAAAGTAAGTACAGTTTCTCACTTCTTGAAACAACTCTTGTGTGTGCTCTGTGTTCAGTGACATCGATCTTGTGGTGTTTGGGAAGTGGGAGAACCTACCCCTCTGGACCCTGGAAGAAGCTCTTCGGAAGCATAAGGTTGCAGATGAGGATTCGGTGAAAGTTCTAGACAAAGCAACTGTAAGTTCTTCAACATTTCATCTTAGACCCTCTAGGTTACTTATGCATGAAACTTGTAAAATTAAAATTTAATTTTGGTGAGCACCGTCGGATTGTGAGTGAATTATTCCTTCCTTTTGTTCGTGATCACAGTGCTTGTACATAAAAAGTTGTGTTTGTGAGACAAATGAATTATTCTGGTTGTACATTTCTTTAAAAAATATTATTCAATTTATCATACTAATACTGTAGAGATTTTTTAATATAAAAACATAAGTAAAAATGTGGATATCTGATAAAGTTTATAGTTGCACAGCTGTTGCTTTTCTATCATATTTTGTATCCTTGAAGAATTGTATTAATTGAAATTTTGTAAATCAAGTCATATTTTAACTAACGGAATGGACATTAAAGAATTTTCACAGAAGCTCATTTTAGAAATAAATATGTCTATTTTAGAAGTTTGGATTTTTGCATAGTAGGTTTTATTAGAGCAAAACAACTTGTATTGTTTCTTATTAAAAGCTGTTAATTTGGAAATCCAGTTCTGTACACAAAGTTTGCTGGCCTGAGTTTTCTAATGCATGGTAGAAATAGAGCTTTTTTTTTTATTTTTTTAAGAATTCCTGATATCGCATATAAATCATCCTATCATTTTTCATTTGAGAATCATTCTTACATTTTAAGTTCTCTTGTTAGGTTGTTTTTTGGGCTGTTTGCACAACTGACCAAAAAGGCCAGCGACTTACTGCGTGTGACTTAAGAATCTAGCAGTTTTCTTATTGGAAACGGTTCGGTGCTGTGGGCTGACATTCATAATTCTTGATTTTCTTGAGTTGGAAACTGTTCTCCAAAGTATATTAATGTTGAGAAAGTTTTTGTTACCTGATTTCAAAACTCTCAGTTAGTAGAAATTACAAATATATTGCATGAGGTTAATGCTAAATATGTAATGTAAAATATCTAGAAGGCCAAGTCAACTGTGGTACGGAGTGTTCAGAATACTCAGTGTTTTTATGTCCTCATGAGGAAGTGAAGACCTCAAGTCTGATAACCTTCCATCTCCTGATTTTGTCATTTAATTTGGTTAAAGTATTTAAATTTTACCTGTCTTCTCTTTCTAGGTACCTATTATTAAATTAACAGATTCTTTTACCGAAGTGAAAGTTGATATCAGCTTTAATGTACAGAATGGTGTGAGAGCAGCTGACCTCATCAAAGATTTTACCAAGGTCAGAGAATTTATAGTGTTTATTCAGTGAAAATGTTAGAAATGGAGTTGTGTTTTGAGATTCTGTTGTGGTGGTGTTCTGATATACTTGGCTAAACTATTTTTATATGTGTATCGCTGACAAATGCTTCTTTTCTGTGCAGTGGTTTTACTTTCCTTGAATCTGCTTGTAATAATCAGTAATTTATAATGTGACCTCAAGTAAGAATTAAGGGTTGAGGAAGCTTTTGAAGAACTTCTCTCCAAGAGTTCAGATTAAGACCCTCTCTAGGGAGCCTTTTCTAGATTTTAATCCCCAAGTCACCTGTAAGATAGGTCCTGCAGGTGTCCTCATCTTATCTTGAAGTGGTTTAAGTCTGTTTCTGCTTATTCTATTTTCTTCCCAGATAGTGCAGAATTTGTCAACATCATCTTCAGAACATTTCACATGCTTAAACCCATCAGCTTTTTTCTCCCAAAACTAAAACTGTGAACTGCTTTGGCTTATGTAGAATATCATTTCTCTCCATTCACAATGTTTTTTTTAAATAAATTTATTTATTTTCGTCATTTATTTAATTTTTGGCTGCATTGGGTCTTCTCTGCTGCATGCGGTTTTCTCTAGCTGCTGAGAGCGGGGGCTACTCTTCGTTGCAGTACGCGGGCTTCTCACTGCAGTGGCTTCTCTTGTTGCGGAGCACAGGCCCTAGAGCACGCGGGCTTCAGTAGTTGTGTCGCATGGACTCAGTAGTGGCAGCACACGGGCTCTAGAGCACAGGCTCAGTAGTTGTGGCACACGGGCTTAGTTGCTCTGCGGCATGTGGGATCTTCCCAGACCAGGGCTCGAACCCGTGTCCCCTGCATTGGCAGGGGGGGTCTTTAACACTGCGCCCCCCCGGGAGCCCCCCCCCGGTTTTTTTTTTTTTTTTTTTTTAGCAGCTCTTCAGGTTCACCTTTTTCTTTTTATGTCAGAAAACATTTTAACTCTCCTGTGGTGAACATTATATTCTTGTATAAATGAGCGGAGTATAGAAAAGCAGAAAAAGAAAAATATTATCTGTAATCCCACTCTTTTGGAGGTATTGGGTGTGTATAAAGTTTCTTTTTACCAGAAAAAAACTTTTTTAAAAATTGAGAATAATACGTATGATGAAAAATCTTACCAGTATAAAAGGGTAGTGAAAAGTGAGTCACCCTTATACCTTATATGCTTAGATCAGCTTCATAGGATGTGCCTTCATCGGCTTTTTTTCTTTGCTTTTTATCCTCTTCTTGAAATTTTTAACAAAAGGCATATAGCACACTATATACAAGATGTCTAATACTTTTTTTCTAACTTAATATTTTGGTGGGTTTTTCTGTATCAGCACAGTCAGGGTTCCTTCATTCTTTTCACTGACTACACGGTTGTCCCTTGTCAGGATTATTGTGCTTTGTGTAGCACTTCCCCGGCGTTGCTTCCAGTGGTTTTTTTCTGTTACAAAAAGTGCTTGGTGGACATCCTTCCATGCCTACATCTTTCTTTACACTAATAAATTGTAGGAAGATTCCCGGAAGTGGAATTTCTGGGTCAGAGGATATATGCAGAAAAAATTCTGTTGGAAATTTGCCGAGTTCTTCTTTAAAGAGACTATATTTCTGAGTTCAACTGTAGTGTTTAAAAATGATTATTTCTCCATATTTTTGTTGTTTCTCGTGCTTGCTTGCTTTGACATGATTTGCAAAAGTTTAAACTTTTTTCTTTCTTATGGAAGCAGTTTGTTTTCATTGTAAGTGTCAAGAAAAGAGTGGAAATCACTAGTAATTCTACCGCCCCTAGGTAATGGCTGTTGACTTCTTTCTCGATGTTTGTGCCTGCTTTGTTCCCCTCGGCATCCCTAGCCTAGGGCCTGGCTTGTGGAGAGTACTTAATGAGTGTGTGCCTGAGTGAAAGACAGACTCACACTGTCCATATTTGCCAGCATGGATGTTCTCACCCTTCTTTGTAAAGCACAGAAGGTGGGTCTGTGTGTTCACCTGCCCGCATGGAGAACGGCAGGCAGGATGGCTCCTGCTTCTGGGCTCTGCAGAATCATCTGAAGGACCCTGGTCTGCCTATGGAGTGCCACCTACAAGAAGTGATTCTTTAAAATCCCACTGATTTAGTGCTTTAAGAGATGGGAATTCCCTGGCGGTCCAGTGGTTAAGGACTCTGCGCTTTCACTACATGGGGCCTGGATTCGATCCCTGGTCGGGGAACTAAGATCCTGCAAGCTGGGAGGTGTGGCCAAAAAAAAAAGAATTGAGACATTGTCCTGTACTGTTTCTGTTACCTATTTACAATTGAATACTATTCGGTAATGGTCATAAATGAGTGTCACAAAATATGTATTGCTAGCGTTTCTGCCCTGTAGTGAGTGCTTGGGTGCTGTCATTTACGTCTACATGTTTTAGATTTTAGATGTGAGGAGACAATCCTTAATTACTTATAGCTTACTTTTTTATAGCTTGTTTTTAAAATAGAAAATTAAGTTATTACATATGTCCACCAAAGTTTGTAATGTAAGGACCAGTTTATACTTAGAGACAATATATGCTGTTAATGCGTAGAGCTATTATTGATGTAGGAATTCATTGAAAATACAATTTTCTTTTCCAGAAATATCCTGTATTACCATACTTGGTTTTAGTATTGAAACAGTTCTTATTACAGAGGGACCTTAATGAAGTATTTACAGGTGGAATTGGTTCTTATAGTCTCTTTTTAATGGCAGTGAGTTTCCTTCAGGTAAGTTATACCTTACTAGTGTACACTAAACATTTTTTAAAATAAATCATGGGAATCATTTTGGAAAAAATTTAAATCAAGCTCTAATTAGAGTGTTTCCCTTGATTACTTACAACTTTTCCCTTTGAACTAGGTACCTTTTTATAATTTAGCAAATAAGTACTTTAAAATCCCTAGGGAAGAATTTTTTTTTTTTTATTTTTAATCCCGTGTGCTCTAGTATTTTTGAGACTTTTCACTGCAAATTTTAGCATGCAAAAGTATGGTGTGGTTTCCATAGGTGTAAATAGTAACACAAATGCCAAAATTAAGAATGTCTTCTAAGCAACTACTCTTGTAAGTTTAGCTGGAATTGAGATTTGCTGTCTGGTTAAGATGAGTTAGAAGTCTTAATCTCGTCAGTGAGCGTATTTATGTGGCACAGCGTTGCCAACTGCGTGACTCTGCTGGTGAGTCAGAATGACTTCCCTGATGTTGGGCCAAGCCCGCGCTCTCAGCATCCTGGGGCAGCTGTAAAATTCAGCCTTATAAATTGTCCCCCACCAGGTCCCCCCACACCCATGGGGCTTTAATTTAGGTTGTCTATAACAGAAGTACTATTATGATTAGCCTGCTCTAACTCCGTGACCTATTGGCTGCTATGCTAAAGCAAAATTATAATAATACTGTGTATAGAAGTTAGAATGTCATTTATTATCCTCACCTTGAATTTAGAGAAAGTCCAACATAATTCTTTTTCTTCTCATTTTAGTTACATCCCAGGGAAGATGCTTGCATCCCCAATACAAACTATGGTGTTCTCTTAATAGAATTTTTTGAATTATATGGACGACACTTCAATTATTTAAAGACTGGCATCCGGATAAAGGATGGTGGTTCCTATGTGGCCAAAGATGAAGTACAGAAAAATATGCTGGATGGCTACAGGCCATCCATGCTTTATATTGAAGATCCTTTACAACCAGGTATTGAATTTAGGTAAATTGATGGACATTCAAAGAAAAAGGCATTGGGAATTCCCTGGCAGTCCAGTGGTTAGGACTCACTCCGTGCTTTCACTGCTGAGGGCCTGGGTTCAATCCCTGGTCGGGGGAACTGAGATCCTGCAAGCCTCGCAGTGCAGCCAAAAAAAGAAAAAGAAAGAAAAGGGCATTGTCAGTCATCATATCGTACTTTAAACTCTCTTCAGATGAAAAAGTAAGCATTAACTTGTAATTGTAGTCATTTTTTTTCCTCAAAATTTTTTTTTTTTTTTTTTGCGGTACGCGGGCCTCTCACTGTTGTGGCCTCTCCCGTTGTGGAGCACAGGCTCCGGACGCGCAGGCTCAGCGGCCATGGCTCACGGGCCCAGCCGCTCCGCGGCATGTGGGAT